TTGACCTGGAGATGACAGAGAGAAGAAGAAGGGCTGGTTGGTCCAAAGTGTGGTGAGATCTGAGGACACTTGAGCCCACGGACAAGGACATAGCCACAGAGGGCTAGAGTTGAGAATGAAGCATCCAGCTGATATGAAGTGAGGGGAGATGCACAAGAACACCCAAACTTGCAGACAGTACCCATTGGGCCTAGCTAGCATTGATGGCTTGATAATCAGAACTCGTCTACAGGAAGACTACCAAAAAAAAAAAATTTTTTTTTTTTTTAATAAAGGAAACAAGGGTAAATTGCTACAATTTGATGAACCTGACCTATACTCAGAGCGGTAGTTACTCTAAATACCAACAGAGAGGGAAAGAGTCTTCAAATCAAGTATCAACGCTATCCGCTCTGTGCACAGGGTAGATAGGGACGGGTAACTTAGACATTGGCTATCTAAAATGAGGTGGTGATGAAGGCACGAAGTGACTGGCTTACAAGGTTTCAAGCAGGAGTTTAAGAGTATGGGGGGAAAGAAAGAGTTCCCACTGAATAGATTTCATCTTGTCTAGATGGGTCTGGTGAAAAGAGATGGGGATAAGATTTGTATGATTTGATAGTGAATAATTGTTATCATGACTAATTGCGACTGTGACAATTGTAAAGACAGACATTTTGTAAAAAAAAAACCAGGGGAGTGGTTAATCTTACAGTCCAGAAACAGAGGACCCTAGGACCCTCAAGGGAGAAGAGCACAAGCAGAATGCGGGACCTTATCCAGAGAAGCAGCAGCACCAGAGATGGAGGCAGAGATGGGGGCATGGAGAAGGGGAGCGGCTGAGGACTCTAGATTCATGGGAAGAGAGAGACTAAGAGCTGGTGGCCGGGAGACAGACTTGCAGAATGTGACTTTTGAAGATGTAAATTATTTTATATGCCTGAGTGTTGTTGTTGTTGTTGTTTTTAAAAAAGCTAAAGTGGATAGAGAGAAATACTGTTAACTGATGATACATAGATGGGATTATTATAAGCATTGTAATGAAACAAGGTATATGATTTGTTGAATGTAAAATTGATGATCTGCTCTGTAAATTTTCACTCAACCCACAATAAATACCTTTAAAAGAAAAAAAAAGATACACCTGACGATAAAAAAAGAAGTCTCCTAAATCACACTCCAGTTCCCCTAGCCTGTCTCCTCCAGTAGATTCTCAACACACACAAAAGCAGGAGAGCCTTTGAAATCTAAGCCAGGTCAAAAGCCTGCAAAATCTCCCATCTTCAAAAGTCAACGCCACAATCCTGACAATGCCTTCAAGCCTCCTTCCATGCCAGCTCTGAGTTCACACACTCTCCTTCCCTCACCCCATGGCAGTCACCTTTGCTCCTTGCTGTTCTCAGAACCCCCAGGCCCACTGCTACCTTAGGGTCTTTGCATGGCTGCCCCTAGGCCTCCTATGCTCTTCCCCCAGGTATTTTCACATCACACTCCTTCACCTCCTTCATGTTTTTGTTGCAATGTGACCTGAATGAGACCTACTCTGTCCTGCTCTAAACTTTGTAGCCCACCGCTCTTTCCCTACACTCCCAATCCACTTACCTCAGCCATCCTTTTATTTCTCAATAGCTGCTCACCTCATGAGCACATAATTTACTTAGTGTTTTTCAGTAATCACCTCTCCTTGACCCCTGATCACTCCCTGTCTGTTTTGTACACTGATGTTTCTCAGGTGCCTGGGATCTATTGCACGGCACAAGGAGATGCTCAACAAATGTTTGTCGCAGGAATGAATTAATGAAGAAAGAAAGATGCCAAGAAAAGGAAGTGGGTTGGCTGCGTTGGGTCTGACAGCCAGGCTGCAGGGTGGCAGTGGTGGGGACTGGGCGCCTGCTTGGTGGGAGCTAGGTGCCTGCAGGGAGGCTGCTTCAGCTGTGAAACTTGTGCTAACAGAGGATTGAGTTTGTTAGGCTGTCAGGAGACTTACTGTTGGGTTGAAAAGCAAACATCATACATGCTCACAGAGGTCACCAGAAGCCCTGAACTGAAGATCAAAGGATGGAAGCATTGTCATTACTCACTACCAGGCCTGGAGAAGTCACTCGCAGGCCCCGTGCTTGGATCCCCCGATGACCCCATCTTCTGGACCCATTTGGCCCCAGTGGGGGTTGGAATCCAGCTCCAGCCACAGAGATCATTTGAAGTGTCAAAGTTGCAGGTTTGCCTAACACACACTGACAGGAAAGAAAACGGGGGGGGGGGGGGGGGGGGGCAGGATTTAGCAGCGTTAACATAGGCCTCAATCTGGAGTTGGACTACGGAGTTCAAATCTGAATCCTACTGTGAGCCTGGTGAACTTTCCAGCCAGGTGTGGCCTCCACCCTACTCCCACACCCCCACCTCCGGTCTCCTGGCTGTATTGCTAGTACAAATTACTTAACTGCCCCAGCCTCAGTCTCCTCATCTATAAACTGGGGTTAGCAGCACCCACCCAATGAACTGTCACAAGGTGTAAAGTAGATACTGTCTGCGGGACATCTAGCACACTACTACACCTAGCTTCTGGAGTTTTCCATCTCAAATCTCTCACTTCAGTATAGAAAGGTCAACTGGACAGATGTGGGCCACCAGTTCTAGTTAGCCTGCCTGAGGGTCTCCTGAGATGTGGAACTTTTTGTGCTAAAACTGAGAGATGCAGGGCAAATGGGGACAGCTGGTCACTCCAAAACAGGAATCAATGCAACCTTATATTCAAGGAGAGTCTCTCTTTAGAGGCTCAAAAGTATTTTCAAGGCTCAAAAGTATCAGATGTGTGTGTGAGAGAGAGGAGCAGGTAGCCCCAGCGTTGTCTGTGAGAAACCAGGGTCAGAGACCCTGAGCCACTCCTGTCAGCCTGGGTCTCAGCCGAGGTGAGACGGGAGCTCACCCTGATGACAGGTACCCCGAAGGACAGAGACGGCATCCAGAGCAATGTCCAGGTAAGCGGTGTTGCCCCTCACTGCCTCAAACATCAGCTGCAGAAAGAAGTGGAAGGGGTCATCAGATGCCTGTGAACCGTTTGGCCAGGCCTCCTGCCCATCTGCCTCTCCTCCCCAGGTCCTTCCCAAATTCAATGTCCCCTCCTTGCTGCAGCCAGTTTCCACCGTGGCCCCTGGCTTGACCTCACCTGGCCAGGATGGGCGAGCCCTGCGGGCACAGTGACAGCGGTGGGCATCCAGGAGGTGCTCTGGGTGTTTCTGCGCTTCCAGAGTAGGTGGGGGTGCCCACCCTGGCTGCCAGAGAGCAGCAGCAGTTTGAGCTGGGCCCCCCACGACAGCCCAAACATGTGATAAGCAAAGTGCACACAGAGAGGCCCGGACTCCGAGACAGTGGGGCTGCGCAGCTGGACCACCCCGCCCCGGTGGAAGGCACGTCCATCCATGAGCAGGTAGTAACCTTCTATGGGGTGGGGGGAGGAATCCAGATGTGAGCTCCACTATCCCGATGCTCCCCTCTCACACCCAACTTCCAGCTGCCCCTTCACCCTCACACACCTGCTTTCCTCTCTGCACCTAAGGGTTCCTGTCGGCCTCTCACCTTGATTGGGGTACCCCCCAGGGGGCCCAGTGGTGTCCGTATGACCTGACCCTTTAACTCGAGTCCAGTCCCCATCATCTGCTGGCACTTGGGTCCAGTTACAGAGAGGATTGGAGTCATCCTCAAAGTCACACTTGGTGAGAACAGCTAGGAGACAAGGGGTCTTTATGAGGCCAAGGGGAGCAGAAGGCAGGCGCTGAGCCCAACTTGGGGCTGCAGGTCAGTAGAGCCATTAAGATTTGGAAACAGAGTGGAGAACCAGAGAACTAGGTCGTATTTGAGGAGGAATTCAAAACTAGAGGGAAGCTTAGCTTCCCTCAGTGACTAGGTCAAAGGTCACAAAATGCAGCTGAGTTCAAGAGGACAGACAGGCTTTGTCTGGGAGGCACACTTGTGGTTGTTTTTTAACTTGAAGGTGACTCTCTCAGGCAAAGCGTGTGCTGGCGTTCGCAATAGTTTCTACCGCCTGAACCATCTAAGTGTGCCCTTCCACACGTTGCATGTGTTTGTATGTTGCATACTCTGTGTGCTGAGGGAGCTTGAGGTGGCCACCCCTGGGCTTAGCACTTGGCTGCAGAGAGAGGGTCTGAGCTCCTTTCCAACTCACAGCTGTTCCCAGAGCGGGGAACCACCAGCTTCTCATCCAGAGGCGTGTCTCTCCTTGGGGTTGATTTGAAGAAAGAGAAAAAGTAATAATACTCGTCACTCTCAGGAATCTGTGGAGTCATTTCTGTATGCGTTTTTGTTTCTTTTCATTTATACTGTGTGAATGTTTATGCCGTGAACATATATGAGGCACTTTCAAAAAATAGAACTAAAAAATAATGCAATTTTTCCACAAACTTTCTGAAGTCCCTTCGTATTACTTGGTTTCTTTCAGTTTTTCAATAAAGCCATCCACAGCTTCCTCACCTTAATTTCTTATCTCACTCCTAAAAAGTGGGGAGCACCATGGCTCCATACAATAAGCACTGAACTGTGAACCACACACCACTGGTGGTTTGAGCCCACCAGCCGTTCCACAGGAGAAAGGTAAGGCTTTCTGCTCCCGCAAAGATTCAACACCTCAGAAACCCTTACACAGGGTGGGATAGGAGTTCAAACTGACCCAACACACAGCCACACTCCTCCTAAAAAGTGGCCTTTCTGAGCTCCTTGCATTCCCTCCTGGTACTGGGCCCTGGGTGACTGATTCCCCCCACCTAGAGGAGTTCTCATTCGGGTACTTAAGAAGTTTAGCCCCTAGTGAGTGCCTTCATAGGTTATAGCCCCAGACTTTCCCCATAGAAGAAGGACTGCATGGGTCCCATGTTGCCAGGTGGTTGGCAGAGGTGGTGGTGGTATCTCATCTGCCATGTGGGAGCAAACCTATAGGTGTGTAACAAAAGAGGAACTCGCCCGTGGCCTCCCCCTACTCACTTTAGGAGGTCCACAGAGAAGCCGGCTGCCCCCACCCAGGTAGTGTGGGATCATGGAGAGCAGCTTTGCTCGAGTCTGCCTTGCTCAAATTCCCCCAGACAAGCTCCTAGACAACAAGCTAGCTATGTTTCTTACTGCCTCCTACTTGTAGTTTCTCTAATCCCTTGGTCTAACTTGAGGGCTGGGCTTCTCTGACCTCCTTTCCTATCACTTCAATCCCTGAGCTTCTCCTACCCAGAACCCACCCCTCAAACTCCAGCTCTAAGACTTAGCTCCCTCATTCCTTTCACCAGCCCTCTGTGTCTTCCTCCCTGGGACTTTGCCTTCCTCTAGCTTTGCCCCTGCTCATCCTCAGAGCCACCCCTAATTACAGTCTGTCCTGGATTTCGTGTTATCCTCCTGAGCCCTACTTACCAGACAGGGGCAGGCTTGTGGCCCTGGCTCCAGGCAGCCCACAGCAGCAGCACCAAAGTCCAGACTGAAGGAGCCATGAGGACCTCAGAGGTAGTTCTCAGAGGAGAGGGGAAAGCGTACAATGAAGAGCCTCGATCACTTTTATCCACCCCAGACCCTCCTCATCTGGCATCCCTCCCATAATGCCATGGAAAATGGACAACCAGGGAAAAAGAAAAGGTTCCCTCCCATAATGCCATGGAAAATGGACAACCAGGGAAAAAGAAAAGGTTCTGAGAAGATACAGCTAAGGTAGTTAAAATTTAAAATTCAACAGAATTGTAAATGAACCAAAGAAAAAATAAGAAACTTAGAGAAAAGGTAAGAGATTAAAGGATCAATTTAACATTTGGTAAAAAGAGTCAAGAAAAGAGAAAACCAAGTATGGAAACTACTAAAGGAAAAAAATATATATACAAGAAAATTTCCCAGATTGATTAAAAGATGCCTAATACAAAGAATGCGAAGAGACTATTGGCAGGCGTGTGATGAAGTTTGAGAATATCAGAGGTAAAGAGAAGATCCTACAAACTTTCAGACAGAAAAAAGCAGGATACATACTAAGAATCAGGGATCAGCAGGGCAGTAGGCTTTCAGTAGCAACCATGGACTCTAAAAGACTGTAGAACTTCACAGAGTTCCAATAGAAAAGCATTTCAAAGCTAAAATTCTGTAGTTGGCAACCATGGCAAAGGCAACTGAAAAGCCAGCAGAGTGAAGACTGAAAATGTCTATTGGCAAAGATTTCAAAGAGACGAAGTTACCGAGAAAGAAAGAAAGAAACCAGTAAACATTTACAAAGGTGTCTGCTTCAATAATGACAAACGAGTTGCTAGCCAGTCCGTTAATTCTGGACCGTTAATCATGCCAACCCAGGTATCAAAGTCGAATTGTGCTCCAAAGGGTTTTCAAATGACTGATTTTTCAGTGTTAGGTTGCCAGTATTAATGGGAATGCTAATCAAAACTACAACTGTCATAGTGACAAAATCATGAAAGATTTACAGCACTGAGCGTTGGCTGGAATGCAGATGTTGTTGTTGTTAAGTGTTGTCCAATCTATTACAACTCATAGTGACCCTCTAGAAGTTTCCAAAGAGCAGCTGGTGGATTTGAACTGCCAACCTTATGGTTAGCTGTCCAGTGCTTATCCTTCAGCACCACACCAGAACCTTTTACATAAAATAGATTTAGGTGTGGTGCTTATAGGGTAAGCACTGGATGGCTAATCTCAATGTCAGTGATTCAAATCCACCAGTGACTCTCAAAAATCCTCTACAGGATCACCATGCCTTGGAACTAACTCAACAGCACACAATAACAACAACAACAATAGAGAAGGGGCTAGAAAAACACACACCTTAACAGAGGGTAAGTGGTTAACCACTCTCCCCTCTAGGAAAGGATAAGCCTGGGTTTTCAGGTAACCTACTCATCTGCTCATTGTGTGAATGTCACACAACAAGAATGTGTCAGTGTCTCCCCTGGGCAACAGATTTGGGCTAACATGAGAGCTCTTACAGACAGCCATCTCAGGAAAGCCAGACTGAAATTCAGGTTTGAGGTGGAAGTTGAAGGCAAGGCAAACTTTTAGATCTACTGGTTGTAAAGGAGAAGAGACCAGGGGACAAGGAAGGGATTTTTTTTTTTTTTTTCCTTCCCCCTGATAAGAGAAATTTGAGCTCATGTAAATGTTCAGAGATATGCACAATCAAGATGGCAGATCAGGTAGATGTGTAGTGAGGAGCTCCATCAATAACACCACGGAATACCGGGCCAAGAAGGTTCAGGGGATGGTGCTGGAACTCTGAAACACATATAAAGGTATGGTTGGAGAATTAGAGGGCTTACAGCTGTGGGAATTTGTAGGAACATTCAGAAATCCATTGTTTTCTAGTTCAAGACACTCAGCTGTTCCCGGAGCTGCCATCTTGGGAGAGAACATCTTGATTGTATCAAGATTGATATCGAAATTTAAAGTGACAGTTTTGACATAAAACCAAACGGCCAACATTTGTCTGTCTATCATGCTGTGGTGGCTTGAGTTGCTGTGATTCTGAGGGCTATGCCACCGGTTTTAAATAACCAGCAGGGTCACCCATGGTGCACAGGTTTCAGATGAGCTTCCAAATAAAGACAGACTAGGAAGAAAGAGTGACAAACTACTTCCGAATCGCTAGTCACTGAAAACCTTATGAATAGCAGAGAAACATTGTCGGATACAGGACTGGAACGTGGGAAGGCACTCAGAATGCGACTAGGGAAGGATGCTTCCTAAAAGTATAGTTGACCATGATGACATGAATACAGTTAAGCTCGAGGGAGAAAAGCCCACAGAACCTTCATTTGATGATGGGGCACAACTCAAAATGAAGAGAAACAGCTTTAAACATCCATTGAAAATCAGAACATGGAATGCATGAAGTATGAATCTGGGAAAATTGGAAGTTGTCAAAAATGAAATGGAACGCATAAACATCAATATCTTAGGCATTAGTGAGCTGAAATGGACTGGTATTGGCCATTTTGAAACTGACAACCACATGGTTTACTATGCAGGGAATGACAAATTGAAAACGAATGGTGTTGAATTCATCATCAAAAAGAACATATTCAGATCAGTCATGAGGTACAATGCTGTCTGTGATAGGATAAAATCCATGCACCTACAGGGAAGCCCAGTTAATAGCACTATTATTCAAATTTATGCACCAACCACTAAAGCCAGTGAGGCTGAAATAGAAGAATTCTACCAACTTCTTCAAACTGAAATCCATCAAACATACAACCAAGATGT